CGAGCCAGAGGTTGAGCCCGAACCTGAAGAACCTCCTGAGGAGGTTTTTGAAGACGCTGAGGCCGAGGCTGATGATGCAGCTGCCGCTGAAGCAGCTGCTCGGGAAGCTGAAGAAATCCAACTCGATGAGCAGGAACTAGCTGATCTTGAGGCTCGGAAAGCCAGAAAGGGAAAACTCTCCACTAAGAGCACCGAAAGATACGAGTATTTGAAAGAACGATCACAGAAACGGGCTGCGGATGCTGCTGCCGCTGCCGCTGCCGCTGCCGCTGCCGAGGCGGCTGTAGAAGAAGAAGAAGTCGAACCAGAGCCTGAGCCAGAGCTTGAGGCTGAGGCTGAAGAAACTCCTGAGATCGATGACGGACCTACAGCTGAAGAAATCGAAATAGAGGAGCAGGAGCTAGCTGATCTAGAGGCTAGGAAGGCCAGAAAAGGAAAACTCTCATCTAAGAGCACTGAACGATACGAGTATCTGAGAGAACGCTCAGAACAGCGGGCAGCAGCAGCAGCAGCGGCTGCTGCCGCTGAGGCAGCTGAAGAAGCTGAGGTGGAGCCAGAGCCTGAGCCTGAACTCGAGGAAGCTCCTGAGGTCGATGACGCAGCTGCAGCTGAAGAAATCGAAGCTGAGGAGATGGAGTTAGCCGACTTAGAGGCCAGGAAGGCCAGAAAGGGTAAGCTCTCTTCGAAGAGCACTGAAAGATATCAGTATCTGAAGGAACGCTCTGAGAAACGAGCTGCGGATGCAGCCGCGGCAGCGGCAGCTGCTGAGGAAGAACCAGCCCTTGAAGATGAAGATGCTCCCGATGAGGCTGAAGAAGAACCCGAGGCTGACGAGGCAGCCGCGGCTGAGGCAGCTGCTCGTGAAGCTGAGGAGATTGCGGCCGAAGAGACAGAGCTCGCCGACCTTGAGGCTAGGAAAGCCAGAAAGGGAAAACTCTCTTCTAAGAGTACTGAACGATATCAATTTCTTAAGGAGCGTTCTGAGAAACGGGCAGCAGATGCAGCAGCAGCAGAGGAAGCCGAGCCAGATCCAGAACCTGAAGAAGCCCCGGAGGATGACGAAGTCGACGAAGTCGACGAAGCCGAGGAGGAAGATGCAGAAGCAGCAGAAGCAGCAGCTGCCCAAGAGGCCGAAGAGGCCGCTGCCCACGAAGCTGAAGAGATCGAGGCTGAAGAGACAGAGCTCGCAGACCTTGAAGCTAAAAAAGCTAAAAAGGGAAAGCTACCTAGCAAATACCGGGAGAGGTATGACCAATTAAAAGAGCGTTCGGATAAACGGGCTGCAGATGCTGCTGCTGTAGCAGAGGCCGCCGCTGAAGCTGAAGCAGCTGCCGCCGAAGCTGAAGCCGCCGCCGCCGCCGAAGCAGCCGCTGCTGCAGAAGAGGCTGCTGCTAAAGAAGCTGAAGAGGCTGCTGCAAAGGAAGCTGAAGAAATTGAGGCTGAAGAGACAGAGCTCGCCGAACTGGAGGCCAGGAGAGAAAAAAGGGGTGGAAGGCTTCCTACTAAGAGCCGCGAGAGGTATGAGTACTTGAGGGAGCGTTCTGATCAGCGGGCAGCGGCTGCGGAAGCAGCAGCTCAAGAAGCAGCAGAAGCAGCAGCCAAGGAAGCCGAGGAGGCTGCTGCCGCAGAGGCCGAAGAAGCTGCAGCCATAGCAGCTGAGGAGGCTGCAGCGAAGGCCGAGGAAGACGCAGCGGATGATGCAGAATTCGCGGCTCTTGAAGCTAAGAAAGAGAGGAGGGGAAAGTTGGGTAAAAAGGATAAGGAGAGATATGAGATCCTGCAGAGCAAGATTGAAGCAAGAGAAGCTGATGCTGAGGATGCCCCGGATGAGCCAGAACGCGAGCCAGAAGAACCTGAGGAACCTGAGGAACCTGAACCTGAACCCGAGCCGGAGCTCGACCCGGACGAAGTTGAAGAGCTTCTAGCTGATCCACCCCCGAAGCCAAAACCAACCAGTGATGCCTTCAGTTTCTGGGGCCTGGGAAGGAGGAAAAAAGGTACGTCATCACACTCTAGTGCTCTAGTGTACAGCCGGCATATGCGGTGTTACCCAAACATATGCATTGAACATGTCAGCCGGATTGAAATCACTGACTCAGCTACAGTCGTGGAAGAACCCGTCGAGCCGGAGCTGCCCTCCGAACCGGAAGAGACGCCAAGATCTATGGAAGGTAAGATTGCTGATAAACTCAAAGCTCTTGAGTCTGCTTCGCCAAACGTGGAAGCCGAACCAACTGAGCCACCTCCGGCGGACCCCCCCTCAGTGCAAAAGAAAAATCCCACGAAGAAGAAGAATAAGGAGTTAATCATCAAAGAAGATACCCCCGAAGACGACGAGGATTTGCCTGGCGCATTCCCGGATGACGAAGACGACACATTCGAAGACGCGAAAGAAGAGGAAGAAGAGGTAGAGGAAGAAGAAAAGGAGGAGGAGGAAGAGAAGGAAGAACCACCTGCAGAGGAGGAGCCTCCCGCACCAGAGGAGCCCGAGAAAGAAGACGAGATCGTTGAGATCATCGATATGGCCCCATCGAAGAAGGACAAGAAAAAGAAGAAGAAGAAGAGCAAGTCCAAGGCTGTCGAGCCAGAGCCAGCACCCGAACCAGAACCGGCACCCGAGCCAGAAGAGCCAGCGCCCGAGCCCGAGGAAGGGGCATCGGAACCAGAGGCGGAACCCGAGGCTGAAGCTGAAGCTGAAGCATCCGAGCCCGAAGCACCACCAGCCGTCCCCGATCCTCCTCCACCCCCGCCGTCGGAGCCTAGATCCCCCAAGAAGACTCGGCCAAAGATCAGCCGTGATGCCGGCTCATCATGGAGCACATGGAACTCACGCGAAAAGGAGAAGAAATCGTCAAAGTCGAAGCACGGGAAAAGGTCAGCAGAGAAGGAAGACAAGGAGAAGGAGAAGACTTCGTCCAAGGGGTCAACATCAGACAAAGCGGAGCGTTCAGAGAAGGCATCTTCTCGATCAAAGGGAACGTTCAGCACACCCCCGATCACTAGGTCAATACCTAGTCGTGAGAAACGTCCAAGTGCTAGTCGTCGGTCGTCTCGACGGTCCGTAGATGAATCTGGACTGATGTCTCCTCCCGCTGAAGACATGCCCGAGATGTCATCGAAAGCTGCTCGCGTTCTAGGTGTCGATGGGGAGCAGCCTCGGGAGAAGCGAAGATCCCGCAAGTCCCGTGCTCCTGAAGCCGATGCGGGTGGAGAGGTAGATGCAGCTCAAGAAAGGGCTGAGCGACGACGATCAAGGAGAGCCCCACCGGAGGAAGATGCTGCGATGGCGGATGTAGGAGATATGTCCGCAAGACGTGGCTCGTCCTCTGTTCCTAAGAAGGGAGGTCTCTCAGGTCTTTTTAGTGGCCTCAGGAGCCCCAAGGCTGAGCGAGGCGAAGGCAGGAAACGCAGCATGTATTCTGCGACCGATGATGAGGGACGAGGCGGCGCAGATGGCGATCCTGACAGAGAAGCTCGACGGGCTGCACGCAGAGCTCGACGAGCAGAGCGCGATGCTGCGGAGGCAGAAGCTGCAGAAGAGCGACGAGTTAAGGAAGAGGGACGCCGTGAGCGACACCGGCGGAGAGATGAAGATGCTGATAGAGAGGCCCGACGGGCAGAACGCCGAGCAGCTCGTGAAGAACAGCAGAAGGAGGAAGAACGAGAGGCCCGCCGGCAAGAACGGCGTCGAATCCGCAAGGAACGAGAGGCAGAGGCAGCAGCTGCAGCAGCGGCCGCAGAGGAGGAGGAAGCGGCTGCTGTTGCCCGGCGGGAGTCTAGACGTGAACGTCGTCGTACTCAACAAGGTGAAGGCACAGAGGATGAAGAAGATCGCCGTAGACGACGCGAAGAGCGGCGAGCAGCCAAAGAAGCTAGGGAGACTGAAGAGGCCCAATACCGAAGCAGTCGCCATGCTGAGCAGTCGGGAGACGAAGGTTCCTCTTCTCGCAGGCACCACCACCGAAGAGAACGTGAGCGAGAACGGGAACCAGTTGGTGAAGCATGGCCTCATTCTGGAATGTCATCATGGGTCAAGGAAGTCACGGACGCACCGCCACCAGACCAATTTGACGAGGAGCAAGCTCGACGGGAAGCCCGCCGAGCGAGGCGAGGTGCTAGGGCTGAGGACGTGACGGCAGACGAGGACGACCGAAGACGTCGACGAACGTATCGGGATGACAAGTATGGAGGATCTGAAGGAAGTGACGAGCGTTATCAAAGCCGCCGAGGCTCAGTCTATATGGATAGTGCAGCTACACCAAGAAGTAGCTGGTGGAAGAAGCTAGCGGGCGTTGTGTAAGTCGAGATTTAGCAAGCTCTGTTGTTTTTTGTAGAATTTTATATATTATATCCTATTTCAATCTATGTAGACAGCCGATTACTGGAAATTAAGTCATGTTCAATAACGGGAAATCTCAGTAGATGCAGAGTGAAGACTTGAGATGCTTGGCACGGCCAATGATACGAAGGTGAGGCTGATCAAGCAGGGGATGGATGGATGGATGCATTAATACGAAGGATGTGGTCGCATTGGGATCTTCGTAGCGTTCATTTCTGGGGACGGCACCTTAGTAAGGGAACGGCTCGGGTTGTCAGCTGGGGGGTAAATATAGCATTTGAAGCAGACGGTTCCGAGGCACAGCCTTAAGCGATTTGACTGGCAATAAGGAACAATCAATATGAACACAGGACCTTTGTGTCATTGGCCACACGTCATCCCCCGTGTTTGATACTGGTGCCATTGCCGGTGTGATAACGTGTTCGGTGCGTACGTGGATTCTGGATCCGTCAGCCGTTCAATCTGCTATAACTGTAGCGCTTCCAGCTAGGCCCCCTAGCAGCAATAGTGCTGTCTGATAGGCGTGCCTTAGTGAGCTCAGATGTCTTGGCCCCCCTAGAGGTTAACAGCCCATCTGTATATTTATGTACTGCCGGATTGCCCTGCCCTCGACAACGCAGCTCGCTGCTCGACGCATCACGTCGCTCCCTCACAGCACAGCATGGCGACGCCTGGGAAGCCGGGGCCCAACACAGGGCCTCCGTCGAGATGGGGGTCGTTCCTCTCCCAGGCCGTGGCCGGCGTCGAGTCTCGGCTTGACAACATGCTGTCCGAGGAGGACTCCAAGAAGCTGCAGCAACAGCAAGCCCAGAAGCAACCACAAACCCAAGCCCCAATGAGCATTCCCGCATCGAAGAATGCGAGTCCTTGTAAGTGTTCCCTGGAGGGATAGGAGCGCATCAGGGCCGACGCTCGAAATGACAATGGGCTAATCCAGGTGCTCTTTTATAGCTGGCGCTTCTCGATCATCGTCTCGAACTCGACCGTCTGCAAATGACCGACTTCAGGCTCGACTAGCCAAAGCTGTAGCCGCCAAGCAGGTCGGTGGCGGAGACAGCAAAGCGTCTGCCTCCCCTCGGAGCTCCATCGACACTAGCCGCAGCTCCATGGATAGAGTCTCAATGGACCGGGTTGAGAAGAAGCCTGCCGAGGAGGAACAGAAACCATCCACTGCGCCTAGCGAACCGGAACCTGCGATTCCCCTAGGAAGCTCGACAGCACCTACAGCCCCCAGCACGACCGCCCCGGCGCAAGACAAACCTGTTGCGCAACCAGTACTGAACCCCGAGCCCGAGACTGATGGCGCGAAGCTATCACCTGGTGTTCAAGAGGAGGAAACGAAAAAAGATCAACCAGTGGCGCAAATCAGCCCGAAAGAGACACCAGAACCGGCCCCGGTCGCTCAAGCAGATTCTTCGAAGGAGGTAGATGCTCTCACGAAAGAGCTGGATGAGGCCAAGGCGCGCTACCAGGAAGAAATTCAAGAATACAGCGAGAGGATAGATTCTCTGCAGTCGAAGCTTCAGTACCTATCCAAGAGCGCTGCCGAGTCGGCGAAGAAGAGTGCCTCTTCTGCGGCAAACGGGAGTGCAGATCGCAAGTTGGCGGAGAAGGACGAAAAGATTGCCTTGCTTATGGAGGAAGGACAAAAGCTTTCGGGCGTGGAACAAAAGCTGCGGACAACGATTAGAAAACTGCGCCAGCAGATGGCAGAGACCGAGAAGCAGAAGGTCGAGTTGGAAAAGAGCCGGGACAAGGCACGCTCAGAGGCTGAATCATGGCAAAGCCGTTTGAATAACAGCGAGGAGTCGGAAAAGCTACAAGAGGCTAATAAAAAGGCGACCGCAACGTTACAGAAAGAGATCGACTCATTAAAAATCCATCGAACGAGCCAGGAGGAGACGATATCTCGCCTGGAGAAGGAGCTCGCAACGACAGAGGAGCGGGTGGAGGCCATTTGCGCGGAAGCGCATGCGAAAGTACTGGCAGCCGAGAAGGAGAAGCAAAAGGAGTTGCAGGGGACAATTACTTCGCTAAAAGCCGAAAAGGAGGAGCTGGCTACCCAGGCCCGGCTAGAACAGGAAGAGTGGAAAGAGAAAGTTGCTCGTGCCCAGGAGAGAACCCGGGTGGTCGAGGAAGAGCTAAAACTCGAGATCCTAGCTTTGGAGAACAAGCTGGAGGCTATGCGATCAGTAGCTGAAGAGGCGTCCTCAGGCTCCGGAGGGGAGGGTCAGATCAAGCTGATAAGACAGATCGAAACGTTGCAATCCCAATATGCGACTGCCAGTGGGAACTGGCAAGGCATCGAGGCCTCACTTCTTGCCAAGGTGGCCAACTTGGAAAAGGAGAAGGATGATGCCCAGCGCCGTGAATCTGAGATGAGGAAGAAGGCCCGCGACGCAGTGAGTAGTCCCGACCAGGAGTGTGCAGGCTTTGAACTGCGGTTGTTGAGCTATTGATTTGACTGACACTTTTTAGGCGAGCCGTGCCCGAAACATGGAGGATGAGCTGCAAGATGTCCAGCCAGCACTTGCGACAGCCAAGCAAGAACTGGAGACTTGCAGAGAAGAGATGGCTTCACTGCAAGCCTCGCTGAAGGCATCTGAAGCAGCCCTCGACCAAACTCGCGCCGACCTGGAAAAGCAGCAGCGCGCAGCGGTCAGGGATTTCCCGGTGGAGGCGGGAGCCCGGCCTTGGGCTGAAGAACCCATCATGCCACCCTTTGCAAGAAATCAGAGTCGGCCGGATTCACCACTCAACTCACTCTCGAGAACATTCAGCTCAGATTTGGGTGCACTTCAAAGAGCACGCCGTACTCCCGAAATACCACAAGAGGGCTTGGGCCTGGGCCTGGGCTTAGGCGGCCTGGGAAGACGAATGTCCAGCCAGCCGCCCCCGCCACCGCGTACCAATACCCTATCCTCGGCCGGGGTTGGAAATTCAGCCTCTTCCTTTGTGGCTTTTGACGAACCGTCAAATGGCCATGCGCCTTCGGTAGTAGAGCGGGAAGAGGCTGTCGACGATAAAGTATCTTCGTCGCCACGGCAGATAGCCCATGATATGATTTCAGTATCAACTGTTGGCGCCGGACCATCTGTGCAGCTTGTGGAGAGAATGAGTGCAGCGATCAGACGGCTTGAGGCGGAGAAAGTAGCAGCGAAGGAAGAGATGGCAAGGATATGTAGTCAAAGAGATGGAGCACGGTCAGACATTGTTGGGTTGATGAAGGATATAGAATCGGCGAAGCAAGCAAAGACCAAGGCGGTCGAGATGGAGAAGGAACTGGATGAGCTCAACGACAGGTACCAGACAACTCTGGAACTGCTGGGTGAGAAGAGCGAACTTGTTGAGGAGCTCAAGGCAGACGTGCAGGATGTGAAGGCCATGTATCGCGAGCTGGTAGAGCGGACGGTCAAATGAGTTGAATAGTCTTAGACGGGAAAAAGCAACTTCAAGGCGAAATGCACGAGAGACAAGACGGAGCGATGTCTGATTCATCTATTTCGGAATTGATCTATCTGGATTCTAGCTGTCTCCCAGCTCGATACCTTCTCTCTCAGCACCTTGTATTATATAGCGGCGTACCTGGAAGGTAGGTAGAGTCAGTTAGCCACTGCTGGCAATGTACAAGAAAGCAACGATTATAGCGAGAATGAAACACTTGCCTCCTTGTCTGGGGCTAAATCGATAGCCAGCTGATCCTCGATGGTTTTGAGTGAAAAGTCGGCCCCGGCTTTGAGCAGTGCTACAGCAGTATCTCCTACGAGAACGTCAATCTCAACGCTCATGACCTCCGTCCCGGACCCTGAATCCTCGGGTGGGAGCATATCTTACCGTGGCCTTCGGCAATAGCATGATGAAGTGGCGTATAGCCTTCATTGTCGGTTGCATTCAGAGGGCTCTTGTTTTGAAGAAGGAGGGCAACCATGGGCGCGGAGCCAACAGCAGCAGCACGGTGGATAGGATATTGCCCACGACGGTCGCGAACGCGCGTTGAAGCCTTGTTGTCAACAAGAAGGCGAGCAATATCGAGGTTCTTCTTGGAAGCTACAAAGTGGAGGGCAGACTGCTCTCAGAGTGCCTCGGTCAGACACTGTAATGTATCCAATAGTTGATGGATTCACTTACTTGGCCACTGTTATCTAAGAGCCGATCCTGTTAGATTCGACGAGACAATAACTATGTGAGAAGATGAAGTAAGGACCGCTTACTCTTTGCATTAACATCCGCTCCTTTGCTGATAAGAAGTGTGAGGACGGGCTCGTTGTCGGGAACGCTGGCTGAGATCATGAGAGGGGTCCATCCACTCCCGTCCTGGATTGCTTTGATGAGCGATCATCACATCGTAAAGCAAACTAATAAAGTAAATACATACCTCGATATCAGCATCGAATTTGGGCTGCTCCGCCAAAAGAGAAACGATTTCTAGATTGTTGGCTGAAGCCGCCCAGTGGATGGCATATCGTCCATCGTCGTCCACCTTCTTGGATAGTTTCGGATCTGTCTGTAAGGTAGATGTTAGATAGATGATCTTGCTGGGGACTAAATCTACATACCTTGAGAAGATTTTCCGCGACTCTCACTGTGTAAAATTAGTTGCGAGGTAATGAGAGGACAATATGAGGATCATATAGACTGACTGACCTTGGCCTTGCCTGGCTGCAGTATGCAGAGGGAAACGATCATTCGCTTCTGTCGTCATAATGATGGTAACAGGATAATCTGTGATTTCAGATCCAGATTTACTCCAGCTGGAAAGAATCCTTGAGATTCTGTTCAGCAGTCTCGCAACTATGACTTGTGGTTCTTGATGAAAGCATAATGTCTATTAGGTTGGCCCTGTAGTGGCGCTGGCTTTCAGCAGTCTTGCGTAGCAGCTTGCAGCCTGTAGCCTGCTGCGGTTTCGCCTGTGGGAGCTCGGTGCTGACTAAGAATCTAATTGCCTGTTTTGTAGTGCAGACGCCAGAAGATCTTATCCATATCGCATATGCTTTTGATAACTCCTAGCTGCCAGGAATTTTTCCTCTCCATCCTCGAGCCAACACAACGACCGATTGACGCGGACTGGTATCATCGCAAGCCCGGAGAATCACCATGGAGGCGGTACAGGCTCCTCAGCCAGCCCCAGAGCTAAGCGCTCTCGTCGCGCAAAATGCCACTACGTCGAGACAGCTCTATGCAAGCGCGCAACCGGCGCCAGACTCGACTAACGCCAGCAAGCGACAAAAGCTCGAGACCGAGTACGCGGACCCCGTTATGAACCGTCGTTTCCAATCCGAGTATGCGGCCGTTAAGACTCTACCTCCATCCATTGCTGCCAAGCAGCCTGGTCCCAAATCTGGGAAGAAGAGCGCGAAACAGACTGGCGTTGTGGCCCGCCGCCCAGCCCAGAAGCTTCTCGAGGGAGCTCCAGGAAGCGCGGCTTCGGCCTCGACGTCGTCGGAAACGAAGGCAGAGACTGGTGCTGCTCGTGCAGACTCGACACAGGTCACGAGCCTAATTACAACAAGAGGAGGCATCTCACTCCAACAGACCAAGCCAGAATGGCACCCCCCTTGGAAGCTCATGCGCGTCATCTCTGGTCATCTTGGCTGGGTTCGAGCTCTCGCTGTCGAGCCTGGGAACAAATGGTTCGCGAGTGGTGCCGGCGACCGCACAATCAAGATTTGGGATCTGGCAACGGGCTCGCTGAGACTTACTCTGACGGGCCATATCAGCACGGTCCGTGGCCTCGCAGTTTCGCCTCGACACCCTTACCTATTCTCCTGCGGTGAGGATAAGATGGTGAAATGTTGGGATCTCGAAACGAACAAGGTTATCAGGCACTACCACGGCCACTTGAGTGGTGTCTATACCCTCGCTCTCCACCCAACACTTGACGTGCTTGTGACAGGTGGTCGTGACGGTGTCGCACGAGTATGGGATATGAGGACGAGAAGCAATATCCATGTCCTGTCAGGTCATACCCAAACCGTCTCCGATTTGGTATGTCAAGAAGCGGACCCTCAGGTCATTACAGGCTCGCTTGATTCCACTGTACGAATGTGGGATCTCGCTGCTGGCAAGACTATGGGCGTTCTCACACATCACAAGAAGGGTGTTCGTGCCCTGGCTACCCACCCAACTGAATTCACATTTGCTACTGGCAGTACCGGCAGTATCAAGCAGTGGAAGTGCCCGGAGGGTTCTTTCATGCAAAATTTCGAGGGCCACAATGCCATCATCAACTCGCTAAGTGTCAACCAGAATGATGTTCTTTTCTCTGGAGGTATGTTCCTCTTCTGCCGTCACTTTTCTATTGTTCGTTTGCTAACCCACGTTCTCAAGGTGACAATGGTTCCATGAGCTTCTGGGACTGGAAGACGGGCCACCGATTCCAATCTCTAGATACCACTGCCCAGCCTGGCTCCCTTGATGCCGAAGCAGGCATCATGAGCTCTACGTTCGATCGTTCAGGTCTGCGTCTAATTTGTGGCGAGGCTGATAAGACCAGTAAGTTGAATATGCCTGCCCTTATCTCAGATAAACCCGGATCAACTAACAACTTGGTAGTCAAAATCTGGAAGCAGGATGAGAATGCCTCCCCAGAGACTCACCCTATTCAATGGAACCCAACTTTGAGAAGTCGTAAATTCTAGTCTATTTTCTGGTCTAATGGGATATTAATTACGTCCGAGGCATTGTACACAGCACGGGGTGGCGTTTTACAGCAGGTTATATGGGTTTTCGATACATGTTTATACACCAATTCCAAGCAGCCTTAGCTCGGCATCATCGCGCAAGGCCATTTTCACCTCATCATCAGCTATCGCAAGCCTCAGTCGGCTGGATCGTTCCGCACGCTGTGCCTCGAGATTAATGAGCCCGGCAGCTACAAGTTCAAGGGCTGCAGTGTGTATGTGGGCCGGACGGCCCAAGTTCTGACTGCCAATGTGGGATCCCTTGGTGCTGGCAGGTAGAATTTGAGCCAGTCCGGTATTCGAGGTCGGCGCCCGCAGATTGGCCCGGTGAAGTTCATCAAGCGTTTCCCCAAAAGTCGTTTCTGCCAGGCCGGTCCGTCGGATCCGGAGTAGTATTGCCGCCATCAAGAGCTTCGACACGAGCGGAAGGCTTTTAAGGTGCTGCTGGATAGGGTTGGTGGTGGCTTCGTTGATAGCCTTCTTGATGGTGCCGATGGTAACACGGCCGCGTTTGGATTGAGCTGCATCGTTTGAGCCGCGCCCGGTCTTGCTAGGGGTGTTTGGGTCGCCCTGGAAGTCACCCTCTGCGAGTTCGACGGCTCGGCGACAGATATCTAGCGCTCTTCGGGCATCTCCACTGACAGCGGCGACTTTACGGCTGGCGAATTGAACTGCATCTGGATCCACAATGTTTCCTGGAACTCCTTCAAGACGTGATTGTATGATTTTCATAAGCTGCTCATGGTTATATCCAGGGAATGTAATTCGAGTTAAACCTAGAGCGACGTAAGTTGCCAATCTTGGGAAAGGGTGGCATTGGAAAGTGTTTGACACCAAGGTACTTACCCAGTCGACTGCTGATCTTGTTGCTGAGAGTTCGTTCGGGGAGATCCATAGTGTTGGCAACCGCCAGAACGATCAGTCGGCTATGGCGGAGTGTCGGCCAGTTAAAGAAGTTGTACATGACGGCCTGGTTCTTGGTAACTAGCTGATCAAGCTCATCCATAAGAACGACACATGGGGTCCTTCGAGGGCTTGGATTTCGGAATTCTCGCTCGAGCAAGTCCAAAGCCTGGGCTGGGCTGGCTCTTTGGCCTTTGAGAGCTTCCCAGAGTAACGTGTAGGAGTGATGGGGGTCGGTGATTTTCATGCCGTTGATTTCAACAAATATGAAGTCGTCTAATTCATCTGACCCGACGGCTTCTTCAAGACGCCCAATAACTTCCCGTACTGTAGCAGTCTTGCCTGTACCTGGAGTGCCGGATATGTAGATACAATTACCTGCTCCATCCGTGATTGCAGCCTCAAGGTGTGAGTAGACTAACGAGAACTCGCCCTCTCGACAAGGCAGACTTGAAGGGATCGATGAGACATGCAAGCGGGAGCGAGCGATTTGAAAAGGGGAAGAACCTGCAACGGTTGGGTCGATCTTGCGGGTGCTGAGAGGGGTGAATTCCAATTTTTTACCCGTTCCCCTGGCACGAGATCCAGGAGTACCGCTCGTTCGTCTTGATTGTGGTGTTGCCGCCCCTGTTCCTCTGCCTGTCTTTGTTGGGGTTTGCGGGGGAAAATAGGCATCGTCAGCTGGCGAGATGCTCCTCGCTCGGCGCCGTTGTCGCGTAACCTTGGTTCCAGTCTTGACAAAGTCGATCAAAGCGAAGACGCTATCGCCCGCAGGAACCAACTCCTCCCAGATGAATTCATCGGTATATAACGCTGCTCGGGTGTTGCAGCCCCGGCGACAAACGAAGACCTTTCCATGGTCGGGAGACTGGTGTGGGACCTTTCCAGAAGGATAGTTACTGTGAAATGCATCAAGAGACATTATCTTGGCCTTTCCGTTGATTGAAGCCAAAGGATTGACGTCCCAGGATGGAGTAATGTAGAGCTCGTTCTATTATTTCGTGTTAATCATGGCATTCCGGACTCGCAGCAAATACTCCCGACTTACGGAGCAGAAGTCGGTGCGCTTCTTATTCTTGTTCCGAATCTCTCTTTCCGTAGAAAACCACATGAAATTTGCAGCTTCATTGCCCTCGCCGTCATCGTTGATAAACTCACAGATGAGGCCCACCCAGGCTTCGTTCGATCCCTCTGCCTTGAGCAGGACACAATCCCCTACGCGGCACTCAAACTTGCCCATACGAGCGCCAATGATTTTCTTACCATCGGTAACCCTTCTCCGCTTGCGATTGCCGGTCTCGGTCTCGCTGTCGTTCTCTTGACTGTCCTGCTCGACGGCAACAGGGTGGGCTTCGTAGATCCATTCCCAGGGGAAATCGTCATCGCCAAGTTCGTCATCAGAATCCTCGCGAGCAACTCCGCTAGGTGCCCTTCGTTTACGAGTCCATGACTGCAATTGGGGAGATTGGTGCGCTGGTGAAGGCATGACTGGATGTGGAACTTGGGGTCAATTAAGATAGGAAGCACGGCGCCATTCAGATGGAAATTCCCATGGGCGTTATGGGTTGCTGGGCGCCAGGTGCCCTGCAAATAACCTTAGCTAGAAACCACTTTACGCGCCTGGAAGACGCGCCGTGGGCGTTGCACCTCCGTCATCTACCGCTTAAATAAATACCACCCTTTTAATGCATATATATTTTGTACGACCACACCACACGGCACCCTTCACATTAAATGGCATTGACACTGTCTGCCAACAAATCCAACCTGATGTTTGCTGAGACAATGCAGAATTCTGAGAGGCTTGGAGCACAAGAGGCAGCTACCTTGAATGAAAACAATAAGTGGTTCAGGCAGATAAATGTATTTTATACCTCTGGTTCAAAGATGTTTGGGCAGGTGCCCTTTGTTCGCTCCTGCCCGAGCCCATTGAACTGCACGCCGCTCACATTCACCTCAGAATGCGGATTGAACGTTGTACAACACGGGCAGGTACCTACCCGCTTGGGCAGTTGCCTCCAGAATAAATTACCTACCTCCTCTAGCCAGGCTGCCCGCCTTGATTACCAGTGCCATTTTCTTTTCTTCCAGGACTTCTGCCCG